TGTTTCCTCAATAACTAACGTAATGAAAGACAATATCATGGATTGGGAATAACCTGTTATGATGGTTGTTATAATGCTTGCTGATAGCCATAATTTAATTAAACTTTAAAAGTTTTAGTTTAAACTTCTTAATTTAAAAATTTGGTTTTTAATGTTTTTTGCAAAGCTTGAAATTTATGAATGTTTATTTTGTTTATTTAATATCGTTGGAAACAACGTTGGAATAAGTAGATGGGAATGAGTAATACTTAGGACTGTGTACGCTCACAGATGTTTACTTCTGTAGTCATGCGCGATTAAGTGTAGATGGTTAGTAAGAGATTGGCATTTGACGCATTTTGTTTAAAAATTATAATTTAAAGGTGAAAGGTGAGAAAAAGAATTCCAGATTCGGATTTTAAGATCTAATGGTGTGAAGTGTACATTTTTTTTTTGAAATTTGATTCATGTATTATGTTATTTTTTTTATTGTGTTTAATACCGGGATTGCTGCCCTGATCAATCTCATTGATGGGACGATCTTTATGTGTGTGATTTCTAAGAACTGAATCCAACTAGGACCAGAGCAGTCCCGTGAAATGGACCTCTTTTAGGGGGAAGGAGTTGTGACATCTTCGATGGGAGTGAATTCCCATCTTCAGATTCACAATAGGTTTATGGTTTCACCAGCTGGTCAAGGACAAGAACGACACCCATCGATTGTCCCTGGATTGTTATGATCAACCAGCTGGGGAGTGACCAGTGCACGTGGCCATGGGGCCATTGTTTATTGTCTGAACTCAGGGAGTGGAGACGGCAGACGGGTCGCCATAATGGACTTCGGCGCCCCTTTGACAATAGGCAAAGCGTATCTCAAAATAATCATGTCATCTTTTCTAGGGTTTTGTGAATGGAATACTAGAAACAGGTGGCGTGATGGACAAGTGTGTCCAGATGTGGACAAGGAACTATGGCGCCTTGGGCCAGACAGCTCGGGTGTGTTTTGGCGTGTTATGCGCCAATAAGAAGGAGGAGGTCAAGAGAGACTTTGGTGACCTGCGAATAAGAAGGAGCGAGGGGCGTGTTGTGAACACACCCCTGGTGTTTAAAAGGGTTCTTTTTCAGGAGACGAGGAGACCCAAAAAAAGAAAAAAGAGGAGGAGACCCGAAAAAAGAAAAAAGGAGGAGACCCGAAAAAAGAAAAAAGGAGGAGACCCGAAAAAAGAGGAGGTGACCCGAAAGGAGAGGTCGAGGAAAAGAGCTCGGAGAAGACGAGGGCTGATCGTTTGAGGAAGCGGAGAGGAGAATCCCAGAGTTTTTTGCTCGGTGATGCTGACCAGGAATCCGAAACGCGAATGAGTAAAAACGCCTTGCGGACTGGACGGAGACAAGCTGTGGAGTGAGCGGTTTCAAAACGGGGATTCCATACCGGCTATAGGCACGGAAACTATTAACTTTACAATCTAACTAAAATCAATTTTCATATTGGAGAAAAAAATTAAAAGTATTTTTTACTCCCACAACCTTGCTGTGATGTATTTTTTCCACGCTACCATCTGACGACGTTACACGGGTAAAAAGTGTATTCATTATAATAATACGTATGTTACTGCTAAAAACATTTGTTATGCTTTATATGTTTGAAAATACTCATCTTGGTCTAATTGCCAAGTAATCCATCAAAGTGTGCTCTCCGTGGTTTTCCTAATATCATAAAACTGTTTTGCATGGAAAAAAGCGCAACAGAGAAATACATTACTTACAACTTTCTTAAATGAGAAATAAACACATAAGAGAGGGGTCATAACTAATTGTACCAATAACTTAGAAGGTCAAATTACAGCTATAATGTGCAGTATTTCAAAAATAATGACAGTGATGAATTTTTTATGTTCCTAAATTTTTTCGATTCAGGATCTGGGATCTGTTTTTTCTCTGAAAGAGTAGAATGTTAGTTTTAAAAAAGAAAACATAATAAAAACTCTCTCATCATATGATTACAGCAAATTAAATAAAATAATTTTTATTTGGTTATAGGATCAAAGATAGCTAATTAAGTATTGAATTTTTTTTGATGACTTAATATATCGCCTATAACTTAAGTTATAGGCGATAATAAAAAATGCACTTTTACTCTGATATAGCTATATCAGAGTAAAAGTGCATTTTTTATTATGTCTGAAAGTATTTTCTTTTAATTCATTGCAGTAAATTAATTGTTATTTAAATCTTTTATTTTCGATATGCTCGCGCCCCCCTCGTAAGGTTATCGCGCCCCCAGGGTGTCGCGCCCCACAGTTTGAGAAACACTGCATTAGACAAATAGAGCAGTAAGTCGTCTGAAATACGATCCAAGGCCCTTACACAGTCTACGTTGCTCTATCCCGGTGCCATATGCATTCATCTGTGTCATCTTAATTGATGTCATTGGTGCAGGCCATTGACATCCAACTGACAGGTAATGTTTTTAGCCAAAATGAGAGCATCAAAGATGTCCTACGCAAGGTGCGAAATAGAGGTACAAGGGGTTTGCGGAAAGGACATCTCTTTTATGCAGTCTTCAAACTTCCACAATTTCTTCTTCCGACTATTTTTGTAGCAGCCAATGTACTGTGGACGCATCTAAATGAGTGTGAATAAAATTTGACGTATGGGTCAACCTGCCTTTCTCAGTCCAATCACTGTGCTTCGCGTAAAACCGTCTATCTGCTGGAATTATCACTGTTTGCGGCTATCTGGCACTTTCTGCTATTACACATGACCTCTGAAATAAGAAAAAGTGTGTGTGTGTGTGTACTTATGTACGCACGTAAGAAGATATACTTCTTTAGCGTAACAAGGTTGAAATCTTTCTAAAAATCTTTAGCAGGACAAGCTGGGCCAAGGACGAAAGGCTGTCACGAGCAGAGTTGAACAATACTAACCTTCAGTCAATCGGATCAGCCAAACTTGAGATAATCACGATTTAAATAAATGTAAACACCCCCGCTCAGGGACAATAGGACCAATAACATGAGGGGGGTATCAGAGATGAAGTGAACCGAATGTGACATCTGGGACTTCATATTAAATGTCTCGGCGGGAAGAATCATTCCTGAAAAAATTAAGACACCCGCCTGAAGAGTTTCCGAGTTATGGTCATTTTAAAATAATTAAAAAATTTAAAGCAATCAAATAAAATAGAAGCAGGGCACCCAGTAACTCGAAAAAAGGCCTGGTTGTGAGCAAACACAAGAGGAATCCTTAAAAACCGGTGCGGAGTCTGTAGTTGCAAATGGGACGGCGCCTGCTCGGGAAAAGAAAGCGCAATTAACTCCCCCCGGAGGGGAACAACTGTGACGTAAATGGTCACGTACATCCCAATGATACACAGAGTAGTAGGTGATCCCTAAGTTCCATCCTTCTATGTCTGTAATGGGCCGCGGTAGCCGAGTGGTATAGGTATCGGACTGTGGCTTGCTTTGTCACAGGTTCGAGCCCAGTACCACTAAAGACCCGCCGTGTAGGGCAGCGATGCACGTTAAATCTGTCGAGAGCTGAAACGTCCTCCCGTTGGTGTGGTGTGGTAGTTAGGAGAGGGGGGTGCCAGCTCAGGTGTCGTCCACGTCACTTGACCATGGTTCAAAATTACGTGGTCCGTCGCCGAAAGCCCTCGTGTAGCTGAACAGTGCGACGTTAATATTCAATCAATCAATCTATGTCTGTAATATCGTTACGTCAGCAAAAGATCGAATCCCATAAGAAAAATATGGGGATTCTAATTTTTGTGAAAACGCCCACCCCCTAACCCCACTAACTACACAAGAATTATAACAGATGAAACAGCTCAACGAGAAAAACCTATGGTTCGCGTTTCTTTAACGAATCTCAAAAGTCCTCGGAGCTATGCATGAGTTTAAAAAAATTATAACTTTAAAATAATTTTAAAATGTTAAATATAGGTAAAGAAATGGGGCTATTTGTCCTTGAAAAATATATCTAGGATACTCATATGAAGAACAATCGAATCCAGCCGGTGTGGTCGACCAAGGGGGCATAGGATTCTAGCTATTTCTGGGGAAGCACTGTAGGGGGAGGGGGCCAATTCCACGTAAAGCTCGCGCTAATACGAAAATATGACGGACCTCCAAAAATCAAGTTCCAAGCTCAATTCCTTAAGGGGGTGAAATTTTTTCCAGTTGCCATAGGATTAACATGAGAGCTTGATATTTTAGTCCTTAAACCATCTCCATGCCTGCACACAATGGGAATGAAGCAGATGACTGTATGGGTCTCGACGAGTGGATCACTTGGTTCAAATCTCAAGTCCGAGACTCGAACAGGATCCAAGATATTGTGAATTTAAACAAATTTAAAAAGTTTAAGACAGTTAAAATTTATAGAAGAAATAGCCTTATGAGCACACACACACATGAAATTATAATAACAAGAAGACCAGATAGAGAGGGATCGAATGAGCCAGGCCCTAATGGACTGTGAGGCTCGGGTGCCGAGATATTGGCCAAAAAGCTGTAGAGGGGGATTCGTCCCAACAGATGTGGTTTATAACAATAGTTGTTATGATCCCCCATATATCAGTCCCATAGCACCAAAAAAGTGGTATGTTAAAATATTAGACAACGATGTGCGCGCGCGCATCGTAAGAATTTATCCTCGTCCTTTTTCCCTCACGCCCAAAAAGAAGAATAACTTCAAAAATAAATACACGAATACAAAAGGCTCTTATAATTCGCTACAATGAAATAAATGTGCTTATGTTCATCGCAATGCGTTCGTAGTAAATACATCTATAATCATATAAATACTTGCAATTGTTTTTTAAATAGGTAAACTAATATTTACTCTTATATTTTATGAGCATGAAACACAATTTAAAGATTAATTTGCTAATTTTTTTTTAATTTCCTGTAAGTATGTTTGATTTAATAACAAAAAGTGTTCAAACAAATGCATCAAAGAAGCTCCGTAGGCGAAGGACTATCTCTCCCTACTAGTAGTGACGTCACAAATCAGCGTAAAGCGGGGGTATAGCTCAGTGGTAGAGCATTCGACTGCAGACCGAGAGGTCCTCAGTTCGGACCTGAGTGTCCCGTTCTTCAGTGGCCGCGGTAGCCGAGTGGTATAGGCATCGGATCGTGGCTGGCTTTGTCACGAGTTCGAGCCCAGTACCACTAAAGACCCGCCGTGTAGGGCAGCGATGCACGTTAAATCTGTCGAGAGCTGAAACGTCCTCCCGTTGGTGTGGTGTGGTAGTTAGGAGAGGGGTGCCAGCTCAGGTGTCGTCCACGTCACTGACCATGGTTCAAAATTACGTGGTCCGTCGCCAAAAGCCCTCGTGTAGCTGAACAGTGCGACGTTAATCTTCACTCACTCACTCACTCACAGTCCGTTCTTCAGGGAAGTGAGGAGAAATATTTTTTTTTGATAATTTCGAAGGCGGCAATGATCTGTGTCCCGTTCTGTATATTTCTAGACAAAGCATTTTCGTATCCGTTCCTACAGAACACAAAGCAAAAGTTAGCTGACGCGGGGGTATAGCTCAGTGGTAGAGCATTTGACTGCAGATCGAGAGATCCTCGGTTCATACCCGAATGCCCTCTTCAGGGAAGAAGAGGACACCTGGGACCTGTCCCGTTCTGTATATTTCTGTACAAAGCATTTTCGTATCCGTTTCTACGGAACGCAAAGCGAAGTTTCGTTGACGCGAGGGTATAGCTCAGTGGTAAAGTATTCGACTACTGATTGAGAGGTCTCCGGTTCAAACCCAGGTTTTCTCTTCTACAGGGAAGTGAAGAGAAGTATTTTCCTGAGAATTTTGAAAGCGGCAATGATCTGTCCCGTTCTGTATATTTCTAGACAAAGCAATTTCGCATCCGTGACGGTTTTGCATCACATCCGTGACGGTGTGCGCGCGCATCGTAAAAATTCACCCTCATCCTATTTCTCTAACGCCCCAAAAGAAGTATAACTTCAAAAATTCTACAATGATTCCCCTGGCAGAAGTAACGACATGGATATCAGCTTATTTTTCTTCTTTTACGCATTTCACAACATTTTTATTACTCTTTAAGGTGAGCCTATCCTCAGATTTGCATAATTTTTAGGCAATAGTGTATCATCTATAGCAGTGCTCTTCAACCTTTTTATTGCCGTGGACCAGTCAACGTTCGATTATTTAACAGTGGCTCGCTGAGGGTGGAACGTTGATTGTTTATATTTTGGATTGATTCAGAATAAGATACAGTTACACCAAAAATGAATATAAAGTGATTTAGCATAGAATATAAAGTTATTTCCACGGAAAGCCACACAAATACGAGAAATACACTCAGTAAATAAAGTGGAAATAATTTAATGTTCCTTGGGTGGCCCGATACCATTTGATCCACGGACCGATGCAAGTTTGAGCCTTGGGGGGAGAAATCCCAGTGTGTGTGTGTGTTGCTCTTTTAGTGCTGCATTTTGAGTGCCGCTTAGAGTAGTATGCTGAGGATGATGATTGGTCCAAAAGTTTCAACTAAATTAGTAAAACAGTCAAAAACTCGACATTTATTTCACAGTTAGAATCATATGCTTTAAAGTCATCTTCAATCAATTTCGACTCTCACAAAGCCCTTAGAACTTTATTTTGGGAGAACCTCATTCCACACGCACTCTCTCTTAGAAAAATATATCTTAAAATAATATTTAAAATAAATCAACACATATTACAGGTTCTTTTGATAAAGACAAAAATGTATTGTATTTGTCATTAAAATTTTTGATGTAACTTTAATATAATTTATTAATTAAATTAATATTTTCCATAGGTGTCATCTACCCATGTGTTATATTTAGCAACTGAGATACATATGTTTTTGTACTTTTTTCACAAACTTACGAAGTTTAACTTTATTTAAGCTTTCTGCAGTTGCATTTCACTGAATTTAACTTGTTTCAATATTTTGTCGTTATTGCTACATACGTTGAGAAATATTTTTAGTTTAATATTAGTTTAAAAACTAGAGTTGCTCCATAGAGAGCGAGATTCTAATTTGCATACACACTTATAATTTTCTTTTTGGTTTTTTTTTATTTTGACTTGTGGAGCTCCTGGTTACACCTTGAGAAATCCCAGGGTTAACCAGAAAGATTAAGTACCAGAACCATATCAGCTATCAAAACAAATTATAACAGGTTTGGCACCTCTACTGGAATCATGTTCTCCGTACGAACAGACTGAACTTTATTCGAATCACATTTAACACACGTTAGCTTCCATTAAGCTGAAAGGTGGCATTAGTTTCTTAACTATGAATTAATTGACAGGTTCTTAAAGTCGTACTCTAAAGCAGTTGTGGAGATCCCTGGGCACAGTTGTTGTAGAAGAGGCACGTGAAGATTTATTGAAAAATTTAAAAATTACGAAAATAATAATTAATACCAATTTTTTTACAGTTTTATTGAAATGTGATTATCTCAGACAAACGAAACAACAGAATTTATTTTAAATACTTTTAAATGAATTATAATAGAAAATTACACTATAGAAAATAATCCTTGATTGTTGAGTGCACTGGCTTTCCAAAAGAAATGCCCATCTGAGACAGAGCGTATTTTAAAATATCTGGAAGAAAACATTTAACTGACCCATTGAGTGCTTGCTACTCAAGAATAAAGAACGCCTTCTCTGTATTTAGCTCTTATATAGCTTCTCTATAGAACATTTAAATGATTTAAATCTAATATTGCAAAGAAAAGATTGTATTTTTCCTACCTTGATTAATCGTACTCGTATATCTTCCTTTGTGAACAAACTTTGTGAACTTTTTTCTCTCCAGATTTTATAGATTAAAAAAACAATAATTTCACATTAATGCAGAAACTATCAATCAAAGTTAATAATGCTCCGAGACATGATAGATTTAAAAATTTCTCAGGATTCGTTCAGTGCTAGGTTTGATGATTTTCAAAATGATTAAAAAAATTGCTGATCTTTTCATGCACCCTTGTTCATTATTTCTCTGCAAGACATTAATTGTTACCCACCTGAAATCTTAATCGGAATTATCGACCTACAGCCTCATATTACATTGAAAAGCAAAAGTAAAGAATTTATTTCAACTGAATGGGGTCTAAATTATATTGAATTTCGGTCTTTTTTATACTAACAAGCAGTTTTCCAAATGTACACGATTTGGTTGTCAGGTATTGTTGCAGATTTTGGTTAACATTTTTGTAAGAAAATGTTTTCTACTATCAACAAAATAAAATATCTCTCAAAATTAACTGATGTACTCCTAAAACAACTTAATTTTGCTTGAATCTTCAAAAACTAATCCTAATACAGATGACTTGGTAAAAAAAATCTATAAATTCAAAAACCGCAATTATATATGAAAGTACTGACTGTGTAGAAATAAATGTTTTAAGTTACTCAATTTTATTTTATATCAAACTTAATGAACCTGTAAAAAGTTTATTAACAATAAACCTAAGCGTATACTTTTGTCTTATTTATATAATTTTTGAATTACCATTGCTTAAGATTTGTATAAAGAAATGCACTATTTGCGTAAAAATTCCATAATAAGCCTATAAGTAACATTTTTTCACCTTTTCATACTCCTTTGTTTGAATAGTTGGAAATGGCACACAGATTTTTTTTCAGATATTGTCACTCTTCCCAAAAAGTTCAACCACCCCTGCTCTGAAACAACACGATGATTATTGTTGTTTATTGATTGATTACAAAAGGACTGTTGGTTTGATTTGATTTTTGATTAAAATGGTGCATTTTTAAGTAACACTAGGATTATTGACTACAGACCTCATAAATTTAAGCCTAGGCCAAGTGACGAGGATGGTACCTAAGCTATGGTGCCACTCTCCACATTTCCTTCCAACCTCAACAGGGTGAACGTGCTCCATCCCCTCTACACAATGGGTCTTCAATGTAGGCCAAGTGACGAGGATGATGTCTAAGCGAGCACCCCAGTCTTCACGTTTCCTTTGAACCTAGACAGATTGAACGTGTGCCATCCCCTCTACTCAAAGGGTCTTCAGTGACATCAGGACTTGAACCCAGGACTCGAGAGAAGCAACGCCGGCCATGAGTTCACGACAATGACCTATTGGCTACCATGACCATTTGTTTCTAAGCATTTTTTTCTTTAAACACTAATTACTAAATACGAGTATTTTTTTAAATAAAAGATTATATAGTTTTTTTAGGGTTAATTTTTTTTGAAAAGAAGTTATCGTAAAATCGGGCTTGTAGTGCGCATTGCTGTATAACACACACATATATTTCCAAGCTGAATTCTTTTATTTTTAGGCATATTCTTCGTACATCGCATGCTCCTTTTTTTTTTTCGAATAAACCTGAAACATAAGTGTGAAATGCTCTATGTTTTGAAGTCTTTTATTCCAGATATTATCCCAAGCTTTTAAAAAAGTATTATACTTTTAGAACTACAACCCATTACGTTCAAAAGGAATACCATTTTATTTAAATAAACTGTATTTCGATCTATGTAGAAGTCTTATTTTTTTCCTATGCGCATCTCTACATATAAAAATGGATGTTTGTATGTATGGTCTCGCTTCACTCCGACACCCGTCAACCGATCACTCTAAAAATTGGCATGTATAAGTATTTTTTTGTGGAGAACTTATCCTCTTTATTGCAGCTCCCCACCAGGTGGCACTACAGTATATCAATTTCTGCACCGTTCAATCAGTCGTCAAGTTGCGAACATGAACACCAAAAATGATGCCAACTTGGCTTTATCGCCAACATTTGGCTATGTTTCGATTGAATCGCTATTATAATGTAAAGAACGGCGTTGCTTGTTATTATTACAATTTTAACATGAAATAAATGCAACAGAAAGTAATATTAACGTACTACATATTCAGATATAAATTATTTACTCTATTTTAAGCATTCATTACACAAAATTTATAACAATATGTTACTTTTGCTGAGCATAGATCAGTTTAGGGAGGTGTTTTCAAAAATAGACCCACAAGGGAGTTATAGAGGCGTTGTAAATAAAAATATCCTTTTTATTATCTATAAAACCTACAGACTTAGAATTTAACACTTGTGTTTTTTTTTTTTTTTTTTTTGCTCTGCAAAGATATGCAAAAAAGCTTTTTGTTGTTGTTTAATTTGCAATTAACATAAAATTAACTCATTAAAAACTTTTTTATTTTTCAACCTATATTGTTTAATTTTTTAATTCACCCTTCCGATGAACGGGTATACCAGCGATTCATTTTTGTTCCTAAAGCTATCTTTTTTTATACCCGGCGTATAGCGCGCCCCCGTAAATTTCAATTTCATTTTATGTGATTAAAATGCTCGTTATACACCGGTTTTACGATAGCTAACCAATTTTTTGGTTGTTAAAACAATAACCTCTTGATGGGTAAAAGTTAATTACTTTACTTTTAATAATATGATAATGAAATTCCAACTGACTTTCCGTACGCTTCATTGCTGTTACTATTTACTCAAACGAGATTATCCTTTAACAATAACGTATTGCCTAAGATTAGGCTTTCACTCTTCGCATTAGTACCCCTCGAAATACACTTCAATTCTCATTACCTGTGTTAAGTCACTCATTAAAGTGCAAACAGATCGATTCGCAAAACGATAGTTAACATAAGCTCTTTCCGCTGTAAGGGGTGACTCCCTAAATAGTTTTGAAGGAGAAAACTTTCTAATCTTCCCCGTCATTATAATGAAGCGATGCTCTTTGTTCAATAAACATTATTAGCTTTGCTT